CTCGTTGTGATATGTCGACTTATTCAGTTTCATCTATTGTTGGAGCTTTTCTCACTAAGGCATTGTTCACAGTCTGCGACCCTGACGAAACGGCGGTTGGGAGAAAAGCAAAAAATAGTCATCGATCGGAGAATCGCCAACCGCTAGTTTCGCCGAACCGCCGCGGTTCGGCGGTTGGGCGAAAAGCAAAATGCGTATCGATTTCGCTGGCGAAAAACGCCAGGCGATCGAGCTAGCGTTTCGTCGAAGGCGAAAAACGTCGCGGTTTGGCGAAACGCCCGTCGATTCGTATCAAAACCCTTTCGCCCAACCGCCAGTCGATACGTATCGAAAGCTTTTCGCCGAACCGCTGCGTTCCAGAGAAACGCTGGACCGCAGACCGTGAACAATGATTAAGTACTTAAGCGATTTCGTTTCCTTAGGAGAATATTGCAGTTAGTATGTTTATATCGAGTTATCTCTTCACATTTTTTACTCTTTTCGAAGTTTGGATAAGATTGTTAACAGTATTCGTTGACTTGTAAATTTTTGTTATGTTTGTTGTTGACTGATAAAATTTCAAGTTTTTTTCGGTATATTTATGACAACCGTTCAGTGCAGTATGAAATTCCTTTCTTAAGTGTACTTTGGACCAGCTATGAAGTTTATTTTCTGTCAGCCACAAGATATTATTCTAAGATTGTCTCATCGCGCCGTATCAACCAACGGAGTTGTAGTTAGGGATATGAGAAAATCCCCATTTTCGACGACCTCTCCACCACTGCCCCGAAAGCGACCCCCACTTGTTGGCCTAAAATCCAATGATCTGTCTACGCTCACCTTTAACTACTCTTTGAAGTCCCTTTTCTCCCATTCCCTTCCTACACCCTCTCATTTATGCAGATATGCGACCAGTCGTTAATGGGTTCTCAGTGCAACCCTGAGTGGGGATCCCGATCCGGGTTTCAAACCCTGTTCCGCGCACAGCTGTAAGCTTTTACCACTATTTGGCGACTCATCAATTTTGCTATACTCCATATCCCGGCAATGGGGAGGGCGTTGCTGCGTGCTTCATTCGAACGTAGTGGCTAGCGGCTACTCTTCAGATGGGATATAGCTGTTCTGGGACAGTTGCAATCATATCTTGTCCAGCACAAGAGAGGATGACATTTGTCTCAAATGGAGATATCCTACGAGAAACGCACACCATGCCATGTTCGCATGAAATAGGCCCCGCTCTTTGCATCTTACAGATGTGGAGTGTACATATTACTGATAGTTGATGGAGCATTCCTCTGGCTCGCCCCCCTTCTCCTCCGTCCCCCCACCCTCCTCCTCGGCTTGATGACCGGTGTTGGGAGAAGTCGTATCAAAGGAGCAGATACAGGTGCGGTTTGAAAATAAAATTCCGCATCCCAGTGGTGTTCTGTGGCTGGGTGGTAGAGCGAACTGGATAAACTTCTGCTTTACCATGATTGTATAGGAGAGCTGCTGTGGTTTTTGCGATTGAGCGTCAACCCAGTAAAAAACTTTAGGCAAGAGTATTCAGGATGAAATGGCTTGAGAATCTGTGGCTTCGATCAGCATGGAAGATTCGGCGGATTTTTCGACTAGACGGTCAAACCATAGCCCCAATTCAATGGGGAAAACCCCTGCTCACATCAGTTCCGGACAAAACACTCAATGAAAGGTTAGCTGACAATCAGAAGCAAAGACTGCAAAGTATTGTTGAGGAGGTTCGGGTGAGTGGACGATGGACGATCTGGTACATTTTCAGGCGCTATTTGGCGTGGCAGGGACATTTTTCACTTCGCTATTCCTTTTACTGCTTCGTGTTAACCAACAAGTCCCATTTTGCTGAAACCTGCAAATCTTTTGCCTTGCTGAGTACCATTTGATGCCCCTACCAAGCCGAACTGCCCCGATTTTAATTGAGTTGTTATCGATTTCGTTTGGTTTCCAGGTAATATCTATGCTGACAAAGCATTTTCCTACTAAAATAACTACACAAGATTGGTTGGTACTGCTCGAATGTCATACACGGAAGCAGCGTCTTGATCATCTGAAATTCCTGCGGAGTCGGGAACTGGAACGAGAGAAGGACTTGTTAAAGAAGACCCTCAAATCTCCTCTGCCCCTCAAAGAAAAACCAGAAAATGAGGGGTTACCTCCTGTTTATTTCCCTGCGCCTAAATTAGGTACAACAAACAGGTACTGGTGGAGGATAACAGGTTCTTTTACATCATTTTTGGTACTTTCAGCAAAAGACCAACGAAGTATAGCTTGGCAAAGAGTGGCTCGAGCTCATCGCTGTGGAGAACCATGCCTAGTGATCGACTGCCGTTTTCTCCCTTTTCTTTCACCACGTGGTGCCGAACTCACCGCTGTTCAATTGAAGTATTTGATAAGCGAAAATCGTGATAGCAGGTGCGACTACATTGTTGTAAATAGTTACTTCCATAGTTTTATACATGCTCTTAAGAACACCATGGCAGCTGTATTTTACGAATTTTGACTGCTCCTCAGAGAGAATCAGACGAATGAAGGACAGGTAAGGTCTTGGTTTTTTTTTTCTAAGTTCCACTGTACTAAGGGTAAAAGAACGAAAAATTTGGCGTAACAGTTAAAAAAAAGTTGTCGGCGTTGAAGCGCGTGAAGGCGAATGGGCAGGAAGCCCACATATCTCCAAAGGGTCCTCCCATTTAGGGAAGAATGGGCGTAGCTGTACAAGGGTAACATCTTCTTAATTTGAAAGCGCGCCGAAATAAAGCTGAAGGATAGTGTTGCCCGGGTGTAGGTCGTTTGAGACCCCGCTCGCGCTATTCCTCGAAGTGCAACACTGGCGTCTGTACCGAAACCATGCAGCGAAGAATACATCAGAAGCTAGAGAGGCAACTAGAAGTGAGACGGGGGGGGGGGGGGGGGGGGAGAAGACGCGTTTGCATATGGTCAGGTGTGTGGCTGGCCGTGCGGCAGGGCGGGCAAGTGCTGCGCCGAGGTATCACTAGGCTCTAGCCCCGTTCCTGTGCACTTTTGAGCGGAGAAAGTGGCACGCTATCACAGCTTTTCGACAAGCCATCGCACTTGGCCAGGGCAATGGCGGTGACCGTACAATTTGCCTCTGAAGGGACAACCTTATTCATTCCTGAGATGCGCCATGCTTTCTGGTTCCCATTCGGGACCGTAGTGATTTTTCAAATACGATTTGTCTTATACAATGGCTTATGTGACCAGCCAACGTACAACTCAGTGTTTTTAACCTCCTGTGGAAGTCATGGCGCGCCAAGATACCGATTCCTTAGAGATGAAAGGATTTGTTGGCTCGGCCGAGAGGTTCTACGAGATTTGAAATCCCTCGCCTCAATGCCCCCTCGCTTGGTGCATCCAAAAAGCGTGTCTAATTAGAGCCATCAGGCTTTTCCATCTGTGTTATGTACGGTATGAGACTTGGAATCTGTTTTCGTCTTTTTCGAACTAAATTTTAATCGAATATGCTACATACTGAGCATCAAGTCAGTAAAGTTCTTGCAGACACTTATCCGTTATCGATTCACCAGCAACGTGCAGTCCAATCGTTTCTCCTCAGAGTTTCACCGATCTATTCGCACGAGAACGAATTGTTTACCTTAGCCCGGATGCAGAAGAAGAAATGAAAGTCTATCGAGAATGATGTTAGCCATTGAATTGTTCTTGGTCTTAGGCTTCTCATGAGATTCCTATGAGTAATGTCCCGCTATGTAGATTTCAGGTTTACATACTTGGTGGAATCGTTGATCGAGTTCCGGAAAAAGGAATACCCCGTCGAGCTTCGTTAGAAACTGCAACTGCCGAACAAGTTCGCTGTAAAAAGCTGCCTCTCGATAAATACGTGACGTACGTTGTTCCCGCTTGTTTGCTCGGGTTGTCCAGCATAGAAAAAAAACTTCATTTTCAGGTGGAAATGTGGGTTCCGAAGGTTCCTTACGTTGACCGCCGTTTCATCTATTCTTCGTGACGTGTACAATTCAGGAGGAGACTGGGAAACTGCATTACGAAAGTGAGTTACAGCTATAAAGGGTTAAGTCCAAGGCTATAACAATGAAGGATCGGCGCTGATTAAACCCTTCAGATGCTCCTAGCATGTTGAACTTCTAAGGTCTGAGACCAGAATAGCAGCGCATGAAAGAGGTGTGTATACTGTTCAGATCACGTTGTACATAGGGGATCCCCGCGAGGTTGGTCTCATTTTGTCGCTGGAAAGACCGGGTCATATTTGCTATTGAGAAAGATGAACTCGGTTGTTGACTTTTCTTGGGTTTTCCCATTTTACTGGCACTGTAGCCCCTCCCTTCTCGATGGCATTTTTTGGAAAAACTGGAGAGTATTTTCCAAAAAATGCCATCAAAGTGGTGGGAAGTTGTGGAAAACTTGGGAACACTGGTAGGGTGCCAAGACTGGTAATCGCGTACCGATAATATTGGGGGTGGGAAGGCTTGGGGGTGGCCGCATTTTTGCATTTTTCTGGCGAGCCCGATGGTAAGGAGTCCGTGGCGCCTGGCTACACTTGAGATGACACGAGTATTGTCTTGCAATTGACCCTGGCACACGAATGGTTGATATTGGTCCTGGTGGCGGATAATAGTTACCTGTTGAAACGCACGCTTCATCGCGCTAGATCCGAACCAACGCTTACTATAGACAGTGGAGACGGCTTCACTGTCATCGCCCACTGCGGCTGATGTCCGGCGGAACCAGTGCAAAATGTTAGGTAGCCATCATAATATTCACTCTATAAAATCCAGTGGAGGTGGTGTAATGGCTAATACCGCTGGTTAGGACGCGAGAGTCAAACTTCTGTCTGCCCAGCCAGGTCCGCCACTCCGGAGTAGCAGCTCCTGTGTGCGTACAAGACTTGTCTGAAGGTAAAAACTTTGATTTGTGGGTCGACTAGCCCTTCAACCCATCTATTCCCATCCCATATTGCGTTTTGAATGTTCAGTATTTGTCATTAAATGAAGGCCATTAAACCATTCTGAATGGAGCAATAGAGGTGCGTGACGCATGTTCCGGCGAAGCCGTGACCAATCATGCTTGAAGTTTCAAAATCCTCCTATAAAGCACCTCTTAACTTTTGCATCCTTTAGTATGCTAAGTTATGCGCGATCTCCACATTCTTTTTTGATTACGCATCAATATTGCCATTTACTTTCAGAAACATCCCTGTGAGAAATGTACGGTCTGCCGAAGAGAAATCTGTCGCTGGTCGGATACTACACGATAAAATCCGTCTTTTCGATCGCCAACTACTTAAGCTTGTTGAACGTGAAATCGGCAAGGAAGCGATAAGGGAAAGGACTTGAATCATAAAATAGTTCACCGCCGTGTCAGTTTTTTCCGTACACCTCACAACGGGACGGGTATTACAACGCTCACTTTCAAATGATCCAGCCCCTTCAGATTATCGCAAGGAGCATTCCTTGTACTGCTTGTTATCTTCACAGTACTGTCTTTCATGAATAGCTCATTTTTTCTCCTTATCGTTCTTTAAGTCTTCTTTTCTATAGAAAAATAGATGGTGTTATTGGCGTGAATGTTTGTCTCACCAACACTTGGTGCAAATTTGTCTCACATCGAAGGATCCAGCCTGATGTTTTTGAAATTCGTTAACAATAAGGTGTATGCAATGCTCGCTCCCTGGAAACGTCTGTGATGTTCTGTTCCATCGATAGCTAGGACGGTACTCAGTGTGATCACCGTTCTAGAGGACAGCGTTTAGAATTTGCGATGACGGAGGGTCGTCGCGCTGCACTGGCGCGTTCCCAGCAGTGATATGGCGGAACGCAGGAACGCGACCAGATGACTGTGTCGATCGACACCGGCCGCATAGGGGTTTTAACACGTTCGCGGCGGCGTGTACTCCCGGGAGTACACGAAAAAACTCCGCTTTCGGCGAATCGTGTACTCCCGGGAGTACACGCGCCTATTCGCTGGTTTTTGTAATTTTATTGCTTTGTTCGCACTAATCAATCATGATATATAATTAATATACAAAGAGATAGAGAGTAATATCCAAACGATTCAGAAGGGCGGTGGGATACCTGAAAACATACTCAAAAAAACTTTCTTGCTTAGGTGAATCGTTCAGCAATCTGTTGGGAGTAACCTGGCTGCCTCTTCCCATCGCTTTTTGAATGTTCTGTTTTTTTTTCTTCTTTTCACTTGCAATTATAAACAAATCATAAAATAAATAATACACAAGTAACATTAAGAACAACTCTCTGGTATTTTTTGAAACCAGGTGAGGCATTAGTAGTCCTTACAAGGGAAACTAAGCTTCCACAAGATCATCAAAATCTATATTCTCTTGTCCGCAGGATAACTTCTGCAACATCAGAAAGGGCAGCAAGTTTAGTTCACTGGCCCGCGTCGCGTTCATCCTGACGCTGTCCCTCATTTCGTAGTTGGTCCAATCCACCGAAAACTTAGATAAAGACTTTAAGAAGGGGGAAAATGTAAAAAGAATGGCGAAACGACCCTTTCGTTTATTTTCAAGCGTTTCAATGGGTTGGCGTGCGAGCCGCGCACATGAACGGGATGACCGCAACCATGAACGGGATGTCGCCCGCCGCGAACGCGTCCTTTGACAAACGGGAGTTTTTGACGAAACGGCGCCGCCGCGAACGTGTTAAGAGTGTAGAATAATAAGGGGGTGGACGCTGCCTTCACACAGTCTGGTATCCTCCAATCACTCTATATTTCTCAAAACACAAGCGTTTTTTGCTGAAATAGTCCTCTACGGCTGTTCCCGTCCGTACCATTACAGCGTTATCGCAGTGGTAGGGTGACGACGCACGTCATCGCGAAGTCTGAACGCTGCTTAAGGTGCAATAGTCTCTCGGCGCTGCATTCATACAGTAAGTGGAGATGCAGCAGCGTTTAGCCCACAGGCCAGAAGCCCCTCGTTTCATATCGCAGAACTAATACTTTGAATGTTCCAACTTTATACAATCAACTATAGTCTCACTAGATTCAAAGTATAAAGTTTATCCTCAAAGACATTGAAAAAAGTCTTGAAGATTCATCTGAGCTTGTTACTGTTCACTTATGTAAAGCAACTACTTTACTAAATAAGCACAACTACTTTACTGAATAATTTAACAGTTACAACTATGAACAAACAATACGAACGAAACTAACCAAAGCAAACGTTTTACAACTAGTTATTGATTTTTTTAATACAAAAACACAAGTAGCATCAATTTAAGATTGTTCAGTTTTTCGAGAAAATTCTCTCAACAAATTTCATCATAATTTTGATCAGTAAGTTCAACGGACAGAGCTTAAACTTCATGAGAAGCTTGAACACGATGGCCAGCGGGAAACGCTTGGCGCGGGTGTCAAAATGACGAGGAATTATCAGTGGAGACTCATTTTTTCTACATTCTACATGACTTAACGAACACAATTTAAGAGACGGCCAAGACGATCGTAATTCGCTCTCCGTCGCGCGCTGCGATAGGCGCGGCGTTTTTTTTTCGAGTAAGGCAGCGTTCAGACTTCGCGACGGCAGCGCTTCGGTCGCGCGTTCGACGCGATCGATGCAGTCGAAAAGCATCGATCGTCTCGAACGCGCGACCGAAGCGCTGCCGTCGCGAAGTCTGAATGCTGCCTAAGTTGTCGACTGGGGCACCAGATCTCATATAGACAACGACATCATAAACATTTCTGACCACTTTTGGTCAACGTTATCAACTGTCGCCATATAACGCGACGGCGCGACGCCCACCAGTTCGGCGATTTACGATTGTCCTGTCAAATACACGCGCAATGCTAGCAAAAAACACAAGCTAACAACTAACGTAAGGGCATGACTAAATAATGAGACTAAATGAATCACAGGAGGAAAAACTAGGCTATCACGCCTTAATCTGGAAAATCTCAATTCCAGATTTCGCTGTAAGATCTACTAGTTCTAACAAACAACTTACATTAAATTATAAACTTTATATTAGCAATAAGAGCTCGCTACGTTAGGCTTACTGCCCGAAAATATAAGAGTATACAAAGAGAAAAGGGAGAAGAGAACAATAGCCCAGACAGTTGTTTTGGAGCCAATGGCCCGCCGATAATGTAAACGATAGCCGCAGAAGTAATGTCGTCTGGCAACTTTGTAATGTCGTCTGGCAACAAGTGCCAGACGACATTACTTACAAAGTTACGTCATTGTCTAAGCAAACGAAAGGGTTGTGAAGCGGCCTGAATTAAAGCGGAGCCACTTCAACCTATTCCGCCAATTGTTGCGTTCCTACGATGGCATTGATTGGTGGAAAAAGCTGTATTGGCTGAGCTCCAATCCACGCCCCCTTACACGCCTCTCGTCTACAGGGCTAATGACCGAGCGTTGAATAATCACCAAGTACCAAAAATAAATCAACTTTCCGAGTAATTGATGCGTGACGGAATAAAAATCCCAAACAAGGATTTGCATAAGGCGGGGGGAGGGGGTTGTTCAGTTCAGCGTAGGTTCAAGTCCACGTATCGGCAACGAGCGCGCACTAGCAGAGTATTTCTAGTTAGTCAATCTGACAGAATCAATTTTGTTTTGGTGCGAATGCCGTGCACGTGGAGGTTTCGAACTACACCCATGTGAGGGCAACAACTGCATAAACTAGGGCGTACATACAAAAAATAGACGATATAGAAATACAAATTTAATAAAGAAACTCCATTATTACCAAGTTGTAAGAGCCTCGACTGTAAACGGAAGGGTATTACGAGAAGAACTTGTGACAATGCACGTTCAACGTAGTGAAAAACCACTTGTTCGTCTTGAACCAACCTCTAGTGAACTGCTTCAGCCAGGAAGTCCTGCGAAAGATTGCAGTCTTGTCAGCCTAAAACAAAGAAAATTCTCATTGAAAAAGCAGAAAAATGAAGATCTGCCTTTCCAAATGTACCTTGAAATCTTTCCAAGCGTCGCATAGCTGCACAATAAATCCATCAGCGCGAGTGTAGGGAAGAACATAACCCAATCCCGTGTGATTTGCATCTCCGGTTATTCCAGTCATATATGCGAATTCCGATCCCAAATCGGTATCTGGGCTGGAAATACAGCTATCTTCAAAAAGAAGCACATGAGG